AAAATAAAAAAAGAAGTTCACGACGACGTTTCAGTCCGACTTGGACCATTGACAAAGTCACACTAACCAGAAGTGGAGTAGGACGGCTATATATAGGCAGGAAGAGGTGGTGGTGGTAGTAGTAGTAGAGTAGTACAAGAATGGTATATAATACCGACAAGATGACATTAAGACACATGCGCAACACCCGGGCATCCCTATCGTAGACGTTTCGCCATCCAGCCAGCCACTGGATGGCGAAACGTCCACAACAAAGACAATCCAGATGCTGCACATGTGTCTTAATTTCATCAGTAGTTTGTAGTAGTAGTAGTAGTAGAAGAGGGTAGTATAGTAGTGGTAGAAGTGGGAAATAAGGAGGACGAGCCAGTCAAATACAAAGGAAAGGGGGAGCACTGCAAGAGAGCTAGGTGCTCACTGAGGGAGAGCAAGCCATAGAGGTGCATGAAAGGAGAAGTGGTGAAATAAATGAAGAAGGAACAGAAACACGAGACAGAAGAGAGAAAGACAACCCAGAGGAGAAAAGGAAGAGGAAAGGGTAAGAGGGAGAATAAAAAAAAAAAGAAAAAATGAGGAGTCAGGTTAAGTCATGGGTGTTCTGCAGTTTGGAGCATTTTACAATGTAGTGGGAGAGGAAGGATCTACAGAGACAAAGCCAGGCTAAGGTTCATACAAGGAAAGTTGTGTATTAGAGAGGATTCAACTAGACGGCGACTGTTCGAGTTGGAAGTAGGGAAGGCAGTTTTAGCAGAAGACAAGTCAATAGGATGGCTATGATCTCTGACGTGACAGAAAAGAGCATTGTTAGTGTCGGCAAGCCTAACACTATTTTTGTGCTCCCTAAGTCTGTCAGAAAGAAATCGACCAGTTTCTCCGAAGTATTGAAGAGGACAGGAGGAGCAAGAAATAGAGTAGACAACAGGAACATCTGTAGAGGGAGGAGAGGTATGAACGAGATTAGTGCGAAGAGTGTTAGTTCCTGGTGTTCCTCGTGTCTACTCTATTTCTTGCTCCTCCTGTCCTCTTCAATACTTCGGAGAAACTGGTCGATCTCTTTCTGACAGACTTAGGGAGCACAAAAATAGTGTTAGACTTGCCGACACTAACAATGCTCTTGTCGGCATTATATACCATTCTTATACTACTACTACCACCACCTCTTCCTGCCTATATATAGCCGTCGTACTCCACTTCTGGTTAGTGTGACTTTGTCAATGGTCGAAGTCGGACCGAAACGTAGTCGTAAGCTTCTTTCTTTTAGTGTGGGTTATTTGTGTATCGTTCCAGTCACGGTATTGTGCCTTTTTTGTTATTTATTCCTAAGTTTGTTTGGTCCGCTTTAAACCATTACGACCAGGTCACAGCCATACTATACCTGTGTTCTTAATAGTTATACTGAACTTATAAAATATTTTCAGAAGACAAACATAAGTGTGTGCTTCCTAGCATAAACATTGCCTTGTGTATATAATTAACCTTAATGGTTACAAATTTCACAGCAATCCCAACAGAACAACTGTGCACCAAGACATGCTGGATGCCTTGTCTGATAAATATAGAAGCAGATTTGTTATGCCTGATTGGTTTTTAAAACTTATTCCATGACTTTGTGATTAAACAAGGAGGAAACTTTTAAATAATAAAGAAAGTTGTAAGTAGGCAACAATTAGCATCGTTTGATCCATGTATGTTAAAATGTTATATATCTTCAGTGTTAGAAAGCAGAGGAATAAAAGACATTTTCCTTTGTACAAATAATGATATTTCTGTTAAAATAATCATATTGAAAAACTGTTCAACAACATCGATTTCTGTAAAAAGAGGATTTTCAAAATTGAAAAGCATGCTTTTGAGATCATGTGATTTCAGTAGATCTTATTTTGTTTTATAATCTTTTGGAGGGTTATTAAAAACTAGATTTCAAATAATTTTTTGCATTTGCCTTTTATATAACAGTTATTAGAAGTGCATAAAACAGTGACAATTTTTTTTTTTGGTTAAACAACGTAAAAGTAACTGTCTTACATTACTGCTGCTATGCTAGGTGGTTGGTTACTGAAAGTTGTAAAGAAATTTCTGAGGATAGTGAAGCTTAGGTTAGGATTTAGGAGGAGAGAGGGAGATTGTTTTCTAGTAAAAGTAGGTCTTAGATAGGGATGTCTGATGTCACCATGGTTGTTTAACATATTTATTGATGAGGTTGTAAGAGATGTAAATGCAAGGGTGTAGGGAGAGGTGTGGAATTGGAAGATAATCTAAAAACTAAGTGGAAGTTTTCACAGTTGTTTTTTGCTGATGGGGGAGATTTTGAAGAGAATTTGCAAAATTTGGTGAAAGAATTTGGAAGGGAAATTAAAATCAGACATTAGAAAGAACAAGGTGATGAGGGAAACAAATTTAGCTGATGAATGATTGGATATCAGATTGGAGGGAGTAGAGGGAGTGAATGTGTTCAGATACTTGGGAGTGGACGTGTCAGCAGATTTATCTATGAAAGACGAGGAGAACCATAGAAGTGATCAAAAAAAAAAAAGGTCGGTGGAGACAAAGAACGTAATCCATGAAGGCAAAAAAGAAAAGTGAATGAGGATATAGTGGTACCAATATTTTTATATGGGTGTGAAACATGGGTTGTGAAGGATACGTCAAGGAGACTGGAGGCAGTGGTGATGCCGTGTCTGAGAACATTATGCCTGGAATTCGTAGCTTGGAGATTAGAAGGAGCAGAGTTACTAAAAGTATTATCCAGATGGCTGAGGAGGGGTTGTTGATGAGGTACAGACGTTTAGAGAGAATGGAACCAAATAGAATTACTTGGAGGGTATATAAATCTAGAGTGGAGGGAAGGTGGGGTAGGGCTCATTCTAGGAAAGGTAGAAGAGAGGAACTTAAATATCCAGTTATCATGTGTGAGTGTGTTCGATAATAGTGAGTGGAGACAAGTGCTTTTTATGACATGAGGCGCTGCTGGAGAGTGAGCAAGGTAACACTATGAAAGGATTCAGAGAAACTGGTTAGCCAGACTTGGGTCCTGGAGATGGGAAGTACTGCATATATGACTCACAATATCATAATGACATGATTGCAAACAAACCATACCATAGGTGGGGTTTAAATCCACAGTCAGTCTCAAAACTCCAGATTGTCGCGTTAGCCACTGGGCCAGCTAGCTTCAATAAGATACATCCAACTAGGAATAGTTCTACACCATAAGAAGGTTAGCATAGGCACCACTGTGACCACAAATGCAAGTTTTTACAGACGAATCTCCCACTAGCATGGCCATGATGAACTCTAGCTCAAGTCCCCTCAAAGCTGTCATTACGATTTCGTGAGTCATGTTGACGGCTTTGAGGGGACTTGAGCTAGAGTTCATCACAGCCATGCTAGTGAAAGGTTCGTCTGTAAAAACTTGCATTTGTGGTCACAGTGGTGCCTATGCTAACCTTCCTATGGTATAGAAATACACCTAGTTGGATGAATCTTATGAAGCTAGCTAGCCCAGTGGCTAACGTGACGGTCTGGAGTTTTGAGACTCTATGACTGTGGGTTCAAACCCCAACTGTAGTATGGTTTGTTTACAGTGTATATACCCAGGAGGTGTGGAGATATATTGCAGTCTTTTAACTGTAGTGTAGGCACACCTCTGGCAAGACAGTGATGGAGTGAATGACGATGAAAGTGTTTCTTGTTTTTAGGGTCACCCTGCCTAGGTGGACATGGCCGATGTGTTAATAAAAAAATTTTTTTCCCTTCCTCATCACCTCATTATCTAGATATTTACTTGATATGGATCTTATGACAGTTTCCAAACTAGAAACTATCCTATTATTCAGGTTTGAAATGGTCAAAAGACCTGAAGGCTACTAGTAAGGATTTGATATAACAATACATTAATGATATAATTATTTGTGTAGCTCATGGTGTCATCACATGTTATGGACTGTACAGAATTTCATGAAACACTAAAGCTGTGAGGAGTGTTCAACACAGAGAAGGGTTGAGGTCAGATGTACCTTCCTGGTTTCTGCACAATCAGACTGTTGATGACTGCAGGCCTTACTTTTTAAAGCACAAGGTGAAGCCATCGCCAATGTTGAGGAAGGAGATGTTGATGCGGTTGTCATCTCTGAGTTTCACATTGAGATTCCTGATTGCCAGAGTGTCATGCGTCTGGTCCTCAGGATCAAGCACTTTACCAGACCTCAGTGTGTTGTCGAAGGATACGATACCTCCCGAGCGCACCAGCACGAGGCACTGCTCAAAATAGCGGTCGTAGTTGACTTTGTCAGCATCGATGAAGACGTAGTCAAAGGTGCCAGCCTGACCCTCATCTATGAATCTCTGGAGTGTGTCAGCAGCAGCAGCGATGTGTAGCTGGATCTTGTGACTCACTCCAGCTTCTTCCCAGTACTTTCTTGCTGTGTTAAAAAAAATAAAGTTTAATGCTCAGAGTGTGATATTGGGAGTGCATATATTATTATTATTTTATATATTACTGATATTATTATTATTGTAGGTAGAATGTTGGTAGACAGCAACCACCCAGGGAGGTACTACCGCCTTGCCAAGTGAGTGAAAAATGAAAGTCTGTAATTGGTTTACATAATGGTAGGATTGCTGGTGTCTTTTAGTCTCATAAACATGCAAGATTTCAGGTACGTCTTGCTACTTCTTCTTACACTTAGGTCACACTACACATACATGTACAAGCATATACACACACACCCCTATGGGTTTTCTTCTATTTTCTTTCTAGTTCTTGTTCCTGTTTATTTCCTCTTATCTCCATGGGGAAGTGGAACAGAATTCTTCCTCCGTAAGCGATGCGTGTTGTAAGAGGCGACAAAAATGCCGGGAGCAAGGGGCTAGTAACCCCTTCTCCTGTATATATTACTAAATGTAAAAGGAGAAACTTTCATTTTTCCTTTTGGGCCACCCCGCCACCCGCCTCGGTGGGATACGGCTGGTGTGTTGAAAGAAAGATTATTATTATTGTTATTATTCTTACTACTATTATTCAGATACTCTCATTATACACAATTTTCTCTAGAATACATACAAATATATATAAAACATCAAATTAGTTAGCCCAGTTTTACTACAAACTCCACATACAATTTTATATATATTTTTTTGTTTTATGAGTTTATTACAACTTATTTTTTTAAATATCTATGTATAAATATCAATATCTGATATCTAACATGGTTGAATATTGATACACAATAAACAATCTTCTGAAACTACTCCACACAACAATAAATCCTGCCGAGTTTGCTAGGATAAATTCATATCCTTTAGACAACATTATACCTAACTAATGTTTTCCAACATTTACATAACTTATGAAAGTCTCATATGTACATAAGACTTATTTCCATAAAGCTTGAGGATAACATTGATTACAATAATAATAAGAATTCAAACAAATTAATTAGAAGAGAAAGACATCATAAGAATTAACCCAGAAGTTTAATAAGTCAATATCAAAGTTATTATTCAAAGTCAGGGTTTTGTGTCTTTATGCACTACACATATAATGTAATTCAAATGTTAGACACAAAGCATGCATGCAAGTGTCTACTCTACTGGAACAGTGTCTACTATACTGGTACAGTGTCTACTTTACTGGTACAGTGTTGACTCTACTGGTACAGTGCTGACTCTACTGGAACAGTGTCTACTCTACTGGTACAGTGTCTACTCTACTGGAACAGTGTCTACTTTACTGGTACAGTGTCTACTCTACTGGTACAGTGTTGACTCTACTGGTACAGTGCTGACTCTACTGGAACAGTGTCTACTTTACTGGTACAGTGTCTACTCTACTGGTACAATGTTGACTCTAAATGGACAGTGCTGACTCTACAGGAACAGTGTCTACTTACAGGAACAGTGTCTACTCTACTGGAACATGTTACTTTACTGGTACAGTGTCTACTCTACTGGTACAATGTTGACTCTACTGGTACAGTGCTGACTCTACAGGAACAGTGTCTACTCTACTGGAACAGTGTCTACTCTACTGGAACAGTGTCTACTCTACTGGAACAGTGTCTACTCTACTGGAACAGTGTCTACTCTACTGGAACAGTGTCTACTTTACTGGTACAGTGTCTACTCTACTGGTACAATGTTGACTCTACTGGTACAGTGCTGACTCTACTGGTACAGTGTCTGCTCACTGAAGTGTCTACTCTACTGGAACAGTGTCTACTTACTGGTACAGTCTTTACTGTACAGTGTCTACTCTACTGGTACAGTGTCTACTTACTGGACAGTGTCTACTCACGGAACAGTGTCTACTCTACTGGGAAAAGTGTCTACTTTACTGGTACAGTGTCTACTCTGGACAGGTCTATCTGGACAGTGTCTACTCAACTGGAACAGTGTCTACTCTACTAGTACAGTGTCTACTCTACTGGTACAGTGTCGACTCTACTGGAACAGTGTCTACTCTACTGGAACAGTGTCTACTCTACTGATAGTGCCTACTCAACTGGAACAGTGTCTAATCTACTGCAACAGTGTCTACTCTACTGATACAGAGACTACTCTACTGATACAGTGTCTACTCAACTGATACATTGTCTACTCTACTGGTACAGTGTCTACTCTACTGATACATTGTCTATTCTGATACAGGGTCTACTCAACTGATACATTGTCTATCTACTGGTACAGTGTCTACTCTACTGGTACAGTGTCTGCTCCACTGGAACAGTGTCTACTCTACAGGTAAAGTGTCTACTCTACTGGAACAGTGTCTACTCTACTGGAAGTGTCTACTGGTATAGTGTCTACTCTACTGGTAATGTATCTACTGACAAAGTGTCTACTTTAATGGTACAGTGTCTGGTCTACTGGAACAGTGTCTACTCTACCGGTAAAGTATCTACTCTTCTCGTACAGTGTCTACTCTACTGGAAAAGTGTCTAGTCTACTGGAACAGTGTCTATCATGTGGGAGTTCGAACACGTGGATTGGGTAAAGTAATACTCACGTAGGCTGGTAGTACGTATATTACGGATAATGTGGGGAGCGCCCTTACAGCCGTAACCTTGTCTCTCTTGCTCACTCTCGTAAACTGACTGGCCGCCCACAGTACCCATATGTGAGGGGGTCTTTGAATACTGCTATGGTCAGCACAATATGAATAGACAGTGACTCAGGCAGAGGCGGTTGGTAGTGAGTCAACTACTGGTACACTGGTTACTGGTAACTGGTTACTACTACTGAGAGCTCGGCGACGCTAACGTATGTCGTCCCAACATACAACTAATACAAACTAGAGATGGCAGGTGTACAGCTTGGGCTGATTCTATACAATGTCAAAGTACACAACAATTAAACATTATAACATACATAAGTAAAACATTGGAATGGAAGCTTACGTAACTGAAACTGTAATGCAAGTACAAGGTATAATATAGCACAACTCATCGAAGAAACCCAACGTTGAGATTACACAATAAGTGATAAAAAAAAATTTGATCGATCGATCTGTATTCATGTGATCTATGGATTCTGAGGGAGGAATATATACAAAGAAAGAGTGTTTAACAGAAAGGCAGATTCGGTGCACTCAAATCTAGACTGTTAACTCTCAGAATGTGGAGAGAACATGAACACAAAAAAAAATTCTTGAATACTGATAAGTTGATACTGTAATTATTCATCTATACAGGTTATTTACATTTAACCCCAACTCTGCTAGGGTGAGATTGACATATGCAGAATGGGTGTCATCTCTGGGAGGATCAAACTCTGTTGCATTGGCTAACTCATGCTGTATTTGAGGCAAATCTGAATTGGATGTTACAAATGATATTTGAGGATTTCTCAATACCTGTCGTGTACGTAGGGAATAACGACAATCAGGTTGATCGTCTGACTGAGTATCAGAGGAAGAGAGTACAGGATCAGGAGGATTGTTAGAGTCTGTCACATTAGTCTGGGTTGGAACATCATTAGCATCACATACTAACTTCATATGATCTAAATGCGATTCTTTATACTGACCAGTACTAATCTCTCTAACCTTATACTTATTACCAGTGATATGTTCAACTACTCGATAAGGACCAACAAACTTTTGATCAAGCTTTGGCATTGCAGACATTTTGTTAAAGTTAATCAGCATAACTCTCGAACCTACTTTGATTTTGGATGGCTTTGCTCGAGTGTTTGCGACTCTTGTAAATTCTGCTGTTGATTTATGAAGTGTTTCACACGGATTCTTCTAAAAACACTTTGAGCTAAGCTGGTACGAGTTGCTATGAAATCATCAGGGTTGTAATTTGGTTTCGGATTAGAATATAACAACTCATAAGGCAAACGTTTATCTACACCGTACAATGCATAATGTGTGGAGTGTCACCTATAGAAACATTGTAAGCAGAATTTATAGCACACTGCACATCAGGTATAACTTCATCCCAAGTTTCACTGTTGGGATTGATAGTGGCTCTCAAGACATCAAGTACTTTCTTATTGGTTCGTTCCGCTAACCCATTGCTGGCAGGATGATGAGGAACAATGGTGGATTTAGAGATCTTGTACAAGGTACACAAATTTTCAAGAATCTCATTACAGAATTCACCTCCATTATCTGTTACTAGGGACATAGGGTGGTATGCCTGCAAATAATGCGTTCTTTAAACGCTTTAGCTACTGTCTCGGCAGTCTTATCTGCAATAGGAACTAACTCACAATATCTGGTGAAATGGTCTACCATAACACACAGATGTTTGTTACCTTGGAGGGAACATTGGAAATTAGTTAACAAATCTAGCGCAACTCTTTCCCACGGTTCGCTAGTAGTTGGATATACTTGGATTGGATTAGGACCATTAGCATTACCTTTATGTTGCATGCAGACACTACATTTCTTAACATACTCAGAAATATCAGTTGCCATACGAGGCCAAAAGTATTTCAATCTGGCTTGTTTTACTGAACGATCCATACCAGGGTGTGCAACACCTTGTACATCGTGAACTAGCTGTAAGGCTACATTCACTAGTGACTGTGGAATTACTAACTGGTATACTCTTCTGCTAGGAGTACCCAACTCGCTGTTCGATACAGTAATTCTTGGTTCATGACAAAGTCACTGATGGGTGCTGGTGGCTTCACAGTCAGAATAGATCTTCCTGGAGCAGGAATCGAATCACACCAGACCACATGGGATCTGTTCGTTGAGCATTCTTTACATCTTCAGCACTAAATGGGGGTCTGCAGTTACTATACTAACATGTCGCGATAAGGCATCTGCGACTACATTTGACTTGCCAGGTAAATGCTCAAAGGTGGGATTGAACTCTTGGATAGTCAAGGTCCATCTGGCTAACCTTCCAGTAGGTTGTTTGTTCTGGAATAAAGGTATCATGGAGCATGGTCTGCAAGACATGAACAG